TAGCTTCTTCACAATTAAAAGTTGAATTAAAACACAAAGGCATTTGAAATGAGGTTTGCATGAATTGCAGTACTGGTGAATTCTCACCAGGTGTCACACTTCACAAATCCAGTGAGTCCATGTTTGTTTCCTGTTGGCAGTCACTGCATAAAGGTGTTTTACTTCATTCTATAATCACATAAAAATAATACCTCATTTTAATGCTCCTTGGTCCTGTAGTCAAACTTAACTCAGTGGCATGTCTTATTTTTATTTTAACTTTTTATGATTCATTTTGACAAAATAATTGGATCTAGTATATACAATAGTACAATAGATTCAACTATAAGACCCAATTTTAATGGATGATGTGAATATAACACAATATAATAACATCCACTGGAGAGATGTTTATTTTGTCTGCTTCTGCTTTAAGTATTTAGAAAAATGCTGCTCAGATTTAAGAAAAATTAAAATTAAAAAGAAGCAACAACCCTAGTTATGAGGACTTTTTGTTCACATTTTTTTTTAAAAAGGACCTGACAGCAGATTGTGAAACTTTCTCATAAACCTTTTGCTTCTTTGACCCTCTTTCTGGAAAACCTTAAAGTTTCCAAACCCCAGTTTCACAGTTTTCACTACAGACTTCTACTGATAAGGAAGGAGCGATAAACTGCAGCCTCGGATTCATTTACAGCGGACTATCTTTCTGCTGCAAATAAAGATAACTGTTTATGTGTTGCCACCCAGACTTATCTTTGTGTAGAGCTTGATGACTTCTCAGTCATCCACTTTTTCTAATTAGACTTTCTGAATTTTCCAGGCTGCTGTAGTCATGGAAAGCTCCCTGGGCTCCTTTTAACCCAATGCTCCGTCTGCTGTCTGGTCCTGGGTGATACTTTAGGTCACCTTCTTCATTTTTCATGGGTGTTAAGCTGAACAAATGTGATGCTCACATTTCGTCCCACACAGTTTGGTCATTGACCTCCGGGTTGCGCGCACTGAAGCAGAGAGCATTTTCCTGTCATAAATCTTTATCTCTTTGAATCATTACTCGCCCTTCCTCTGTGCGATGACACCATTCTCCGAGAATAACAGTAAACACGGACATCAATCAGAGCAGATATGAGCACGCAAATCATATTCAAAAAGCCATGCAAAACACAGTGGCTTTATTATTGTCCACCAGCAAAAATATACACGATGCATGAACGTAACAAACCCTGAAAGCTCATTTGATGTGCTGTAATATTCAATGAAACTTAATATATTGAAAGCTTGTAAATAAAAATTATTTAAAACCCTGAATTATTTAAGTTAATTAAAAAAGCATATGAATAATTAAAGATTTTGGAACCGTTTTGCTACAAGTTTGAGTCACTATATGAAGCAAATACAGGCTAATCTGCTATATTTTATGCTTTTATATAAATAACAGTCTATAAACGTTAACAATAACACATGAAGAGTTTACTGAGAAATATTAAATATGACAAATACAGATCTATATAACCTGCATTTAGGAAATAACTGACATTATCAATGTTACTTCAAACCAATCTCACATAAGCAAAATTAAAGAAGCCACTGATGTGCTCAGAGTTTTGTGTTGTTCTGAAGAAATATTTCTGAAATAAGACAAAAGTTTATTTTCAATTCTAGATTTTTTTTTTGCATCTTGATGATGCAATCATTGCAGCAGCAGCAGCAAACATGATCTGCTGCTGGCTCGTCGAATGCTTCATGCGCTCTGTAATAAACACATGAACTGAAACATGCAATAGCAATAAATAAATAAATAAATAAATAAAAAGCACAAAAACAAACTAGTCTTAAGATTGATTTTTTTTTTTTTTTACAAGTTCTAGGTAACAAACATTCCCAGCAAAAAAGTGTAAACATTTATAAATCTATCTGTAGATGTGTGAATTTTATCGCCTGACACCAAAGGCTAAAGAGTGTTACTACTTTTGCCCACTGGTGAATGTGCGTTCATTTAGTGTGTTAACAATATATCACACAAACCAAAGGACAGATTTCAATGAAGCTCCTGCAAATGTGATCCTTGAATATAATTTACAACTTTTCAACTTTTGGAAGAACCAAATTGAAGCTGGCCCAGCTAACTAATCTTAGGAAACACAAAAAAAGGCTATAACAGTAAATTTGACAAATATTCAGCTAAATTTAGTCTATCTGAAAGGCTTTATTTATTTATTAACCTTTATTTAGCCAAGCAAATCCCATTGAGCTCACAGATCTCTTTTGCAAGGGAGGTCTGGGCCAGAAGGCAGCCAGTTTTGATCTGTGGGAGGAAACTGGAGTACCCAGACAAAACCTTAACAACATGCAAGATCTCACAATACTGCATGAGATTGTGCTTAACCTTAATATTATTTACAGAGTTTGACCAAAATGGCTGTAACTCTCTTCTAAAATGATTAAGGGATGAGATGATTTTAGTTTATTGACTAAAATCTGTATATCTAACTATGTCTCCCCTTGCCCGATCATCTTCCTCACAAATGCTACAAAGATATGAATCATTTAATCTTTTTTTGTTGAACTGCAGCTCAACACATGTACTTCATCCTGCATCCAAAGAAGTTGCAGCACCTAGAAGAAACTGGAGACGTTTTAAGGATTTCTTTCAAATCCAGTCTGCTGAGTTGCAGGTGACTTTAGCTCCTGGGTGGTGCAAACGACAGCAGACTGCTGTCTGTGCAGCTCCTAAATTGAATTGGCCTGACTGCTGACAGTACAGTAACCCAGTCTACTGATATGAGACTCGTCTATTGTTTCCCTTAGAGCAAAGGGACGCAGCTCGTCACCCGCTTGGACAATAAACGGAAGAACAGCGGGGCTGCGGGGCTTATTATAGTTGCATTTAAAGTTGGAAAACAGTTTGCTGTGTCACAGCGACTGGACCATGTGGCACTATTTGAATGGATTTCTCTAGGTGAATTTTTAGGCAGGGCTGGATTTGATCTCTTCATGGAACAACTCCATGAATTATAAATGACGACCTCACTTTGGCTTTCACCTTGCCTGAGACATCTGCCTTTGAAATGCTAAAGCGCTAACAAAGCTAATTCTTTGGTATATCACCTGTACAGTTAGAGATCAGCAGGGCGGCACGATGATCTAAGCATTAAGTGACAGCATAGACGGTTAAAAATGCAAAATGTACTGCAGTGGTTTGTATCTTTTGGACATTTAATTCAGCTCAGAAAATAAAAAAAAAGAATACAAGAACAACATAAACACAACATGTACAGTGATCCAGAACGTGTTTTTAAATGGCCGTGTGAGACAAAGCAGCAAGAAAAACAGCTTTGCTGGTTAAGGTAGATCATTTTATAAATGATTAATATGGTCTGCATATTTAACTTGGAGCTTTTGCTTCTGAAGCGATCCGAGAAAAGTCACATAAGCTATAGCACTGGAGTTCCCTCCACCTACAAAAGTGTTTTGCCAAAAGAACAAGACATTCAAATATGTCTTCTTCTTATTTAATTCATGTCACAAACAGCAACCAAAAAAAAAAAGCTCTTTCCATCTAGATAAACTTATAAATCTTTCTGATCTTCTGAATTTTCTGAACTGAGTTGTTTCCTCCTTAACAAGCTTTGTTGTAGCTCACCTAAAGAGAAACAGCTGCTCCTTCAGGCTGCTATTCACACACCAGAAATAAACATATTTTTATCAATATAAAAAAAAAAAGAAATAACACCAGCCTGGCTTTTTCCCACACCCCTTTCTTGTGCTTTGACAGGCGTCAATTGAATGAATATTACCGTTGGAAGATCAGCAGTGAGAACCAGCAGCAGGGAAGCATTAATAACAGCTAACATGAGGCGTTAATGAGTGTTCAGCCCTGAAGTTTCACACCAGCACTCATCACTTTTATATTTAAACATAAGAAGAAAAAGATGTTAAAATCGTTACATCTGCTTGATTGTGGGTACGTTTTATCCCAGAAATGAAATCAAGCGAAATAAACTTCATGCGGTTTGCATACATGTTTAATGAAAGGCACTCTTTGCAGAATAAATAAAACATAGCAAATTATGACACTGTACTGTACAAAGTTGACACATACAGTAACAGTTCTCACATATTCAGTGCTTCGGAATATATTAAAGTGCTGATTATTGAAATGACCAACTTTTGTCTCCTTATTTATTGCATTTTTCATAAACATTCTTTATTTTCACATCATCAAATTGCATATTATAGGATTATTTTGAAGGCATTGACTGAGTTGCAACTACTTTCACTGGCATTTCAATGCAAGCCTGATTTATATATACAATATTTTCACATTTATTAAATGCAATGTGGCATGCAAAAATAGTATGGATTTATATTATTCTTCTGTGCATACCTGTTTGTCTTTATTTCACAAACACATTTAACTTATGACCTTTGTTTATCATGTTAAATATAAGAATCTTTACTGTATGATCAAATACTATTACATTCAGCTTCGGTACACAAGCTTCCGTTAATAGGAAGTTAATCTTATTTCGGCCTCTGCGCCATGCGATAAAAAAGATAAAACCAGGCAAATGGAAAAACGTTTAAATAAAAAAGGCTTGTTTTTTTTTTTGTCCTGGTCTTTTCATCTGATCATAAATATATATTATCTCACATTTATTTTAATAAATATATTTTCCCTGCCAACATGGTATAAAGCTCCAAAAGTGCTTAAGAGATATGTGGAAAAAAAGCTTTCAGTGCAATAAATTGACATGATTTTAAAGGGTGAAAATCACATTCAAATATTAAGCTGGGATTATCAATTTACAGCAAAACCCTGTTAGTTGAAGTTCAAAAAACAAAACCCATAGATAAAAAAACAAGTGATTTAAATCACTACAGCTGTTGCATGCAACTATTGCATGTAGATATGGTCATCATTAAGCAGGCCTGATTTATGCTTTGCAGCCTATCTAAGAATAATATCAGACATGCTATTTATCACACACATATTGTTACGCTGAAGGTGCTGCTGGCTGAGCGCTCACAGATATAGATTTGCTGAGGAGACAGTGTGTACACTGATGTCCTCCTCCTTTGCACTGCACACTGCCTGCCCTTGAACACCGCACTAAGGCCTATCTCAAATTTGCTGAACGTGATGAAGTGGAGACCAACGTGGACCTGTGATGTAATACAAGCTCTGACTGAACTTCCAGTTAGAATGCTTGATCACCAAATTATTTTTTCCCTTCTCTGGGATAAACTTGCTCAGCTATTTCAGATCAAATGAACATTTTACAGCTTACAAAGCATTTTCTATCCATACAGTACTCACTTTTTGTATTAAAATCGTCAAAGTGAAATGTTTGTCCACAGCACAGATCATGCTTTTCTTCATATTGGGCTAGATTCTTTCATCACAGGTAAGAGTAAAAGTGGTTGGAGTTATGTTAATTGCACTTCACTTTGACACATCTACATGCAGACAGACAACTTGTGTTAAGACCACCTCACCACACAGTTTCTAATAATACTGTATTTATCTGTGTTTGAAGTATAAAATGATGAGTAAGATAAACGAGCCGATATGTTTGATTTTGTCCATTTGTGTTTTTGTGCCCTACGTGACGATAAACAGTCTTTCAGTACATGTTGTTTTTCTCGTTCTGCCAAGTTCCATTACCTTTGTTCAATGAAAGGGTGCTTCCACACTTGTTAGCAGCTGACATTTTCTGAGCAGCTTCCGCTGCTGCTTCCATCACCTGTTTCTCCTCCTGCTCAGTCTCGCGATGGTAAAAATAGTTAAAGTTGGAAACGATGACAGGGACAGGCAAGGCAATGGTCAAGACACCAGCAATGGCACAAAGAGTGCCGACCATTTTGCCTCCCATGGTGATGGGGCACATGTCTCCGTAACCCACGGTGGTCATCGTCACCACAGCCCACCAGAAGCCATCAGGAATGCTAACGAACTGTGTCTGGGGCTCATCCACTTCTGCAAAGTAGATGGCACTTGAGAAAAGGATGACTCCTATGAAAAGGAAGAAGATTAGCAGCCCCAGTTCCCTCATGCTGGCTTTTAAGGTCTGACCCAAAATTTGAAGACCCTTCGAGTGTCGGGAGAGCTTAAAAATTCTGAAAACTCTCACCAGTCGGATGATTCTGAGTATTGCTAAGGACATGTTTTGACCTGAGTTCATATCTTCATCTGGTGTCGTGGCCAGCTCAGTCCCCAGGGTTACAAAGTAGGGAATTATAGACACTATGTCAATGACGTTCATGATGTTATTGAAGAAATCACTTTTGCTGGGGCACACCACAAAACGAACACAGACCTCAAAGCAGAACCAAATGATGCAAATAGTCTCCACAATGAAAAATGGGTCTGTGAGGTATGTCATGATGGTTTTAGGAGCAGGACGAGAGACAGAACTGTCTTGGGTGCCATTGATCATTTTGGTGAAACCTGGAGGAAAGTCACTGTCCTCCCTGAACTCTGGAAGTGTTTCCAGGCAAAAGATGAAGATAGAAATGACGATGACGAGCACAGAGACCAGAGCTACAGATTTGGCTGCACTGGAGCTCTCTGGGTATTCAAACAGGAGCCAGAACTGTCTCTGCAGTTCATTGGTGGGCAAAAGGACCTCAGGTTCTTTGATAAACCCTTCATCTTCACGGAACTGCTCCATTGCCTCATGACCCAGCTCATAGAAAACAATTTCATTAGCATAAACATCTAAGGGAACATTGGCTGGTCTGCGGAGTTTTCCCCCTGACTGATAGTAGTAGAGAATACCATCAAAAGATGGCCGATTTCTGTCAAAGAAGTACTCATTTCTCATTGGGTCAAAGTAATTTATCCTCTTCATAGGGTTGCCCAGAAGTGTCTCTGGAAATTTACTCAGGGTGCTGAGTTGGGTTTCAAACATCAGTCCTGAAATATTGATAACAACTTTCTCATCTTTGTCTTCCAGACAGTGCTTTTCAAACAGATCTTCATTTTCGTAATAATCCTTCTGTATCTTACTGAAGACACTGTCCGTTGGAGACTCACTGTTGATCAGGAGCTTCAGATTTGAGATCAGGCTGGCACTGCTGGAGTTTGCTTTAGAGGTTAGTGTTGGAGGAGTGGACGGTGACAGCCCATCCTGACCAGAGTGGCGCCTGCGCCGTCCTCTGCGCGGTGACTGGTGAGGAGAAGCCAGCCGGTGGGCTAACAGGTTCTGATCAGGTGCCTCTGAAGTTGGTGAGGTAGGGTACCCAGAATCGCTTGGGTCACCCAGGTTGATGCCAACATCATCCATGTTTTCAAAATTAACAAGTGGCACCTCCATCGCCTGCTTTGCTGCTAGCAGTCAGCCAGGTTCTGGAGATAGAGGAGACACTGAAACCAGTGCCACGCTGCGGATCCTGGTGGGACTTCCCTCCTCCTGGCTACCATTCAGGTTGCCGTTCACTCATTTTAGATTTGGACTTCTGGTTAATCTGCAAAAGAGTGTTTTGGAAAGGGTGAGTATTACATTTTCTTGAGCAATCTAGAATAGTTCTGTTGATTAAGAGCTTTTCTGTCAGCTCTTGTTTGCATCAGCAGAGAACCTGCTATCTGATACTCTGCATAAACACATTTTTTACCCTGAATTTATTTTCATTGACCTAAACGAAAACACAAACTCGACAAAACTGAATGGAAAAGTGCTTACGGGCAGTATGGACAGCTTTATTGCTGATCATGTGCTGCAAAACTGTTTCTTTTTCTTCTGGCATAACACTTGATCCTTTAGCAACGGCTGGAAGTACAAGCTCATTAAAATTTGTCTATCGTTTTTTTTAAGGTCTGACTGTTTGGTACTTGTCTACGATTTGATTCAGGACAAGTTTACATTTTCTTAATCTTTTATTAGTTGTTCCAACCATTATTAGCTGTTTCAAAGGTACCTTTTGTCTTGTTTGAACAAGTAACCAGATCCTGAACACATGCCGTCAAGCTGTGATGCACTTGACACTAAGGGCCCTGTGAGACTCAAAGAGATCTGTGTACCTTTGTTTCCATTCACGGTGCAGTGGACAACGTAACAGTTCAGGATATCGAGCTCAATCTTATGTAAGAAAATTGAGTAGATTTGATGTGAAATACACATCCTGGGGCTGACAATCAGTATGCATATTGAGCTCCTCTCTGTGTAAACACAGAGAAGGGTTACTGGGTTCAACAGTGAGAACAAACAAAAAAACAAGACGCAAACAGTACCAGTACCATCTAGCATCTTTAGATCTATAAGAAGCTTTTCCGAAAGCACTTTTCTTCTACCAAAACTTTTTAAATGAACCATTTTGCCACTATCTGGCATTAACTTGACAATCAAAGAAGCAGTTTTACTTTTACATAAACACTAGTGTCCTTATCAGATCTACTTGCCAAGGTGCAACATAATGCATGCAGCTGTTAGGACTCACCCGTGCCCCTGGCTCTGCAGAAGTCTTAATGTCCGCTCTGTCCTTCCCGGCTGCTTTGGTCTGTACCTCTTTACGCCCTTCACTCTCCCTCATCAAAACTCCCAATCAAGAGTGTCTCTAGCAGTATTAAAGCTCCCACAGGGTAATTTAACACCACGGACGAAACCAGAGATGCTGAATTCACCCTCGCAAACTCACAAACATAGTGCTCCCTCACATACACAAGCACAAGACAAACAAAAAAAGACAAATGACTTTATTTTAGGTTGGGGGGGTCATCTGGCTTTGTTCTTGCAGCTCCTTCCTCCGTCAGCGGGGATGCTCATAGGTGTGCTCTGTGATAGGAGATTTATTGTGTGGGAGCCAATCGCTGCTTGATCAGAGGAAGGGAGTGTGGGACCCACTCGTTCCCCCTTTTTCTGCAGACTAAGCATCCACATGCAGGATCATCCAATCCACCCTTACCTTGGGGATTTGACTATATTCTCCCCCCGTTATACTCCACTTGTAAAAGCTCTTACAACCTGCAGCGATGTCTCTCTGTCCAAGGACTTCAGCTTTGTCTTGTCTTCATCCTGAGCACTGACACAAACTGTATTTTTCATTTAACGTCAGTATTTTAGAACATATTAATACTGACTCTACTGTCACATTAGTCTGCAAAATTTTTACACAAGCTCTCTTTTATTTCTGTATTATCACTGCAGTAATGTCCTGTTGCAAAATGCATGTGAGTTCCTGGTTGGGCAAGTAAATATAAACTCACTGGAAAGTTCTCAGCTCTAGTATTTTTGCATCGTGCATTCATGCAAAATTTGTCAGGTTAAAAAAAGTGACTTTAAGGAGCTGACATTGTAAACCCCCTTATTAAACAGCTACACTTTCTTTCAAGAGCCAAAACCTTTAATTGCAGTTATACTTGCACGCTTGTAGAAGGACAGTCAAGTTGGCAAGATTGGTTCAATCTTGTGTTACCTGATGAAAAGCTATTTGTCTTTTATCAGATCTCTTCATCTTCTAGTCACCATGCTGCAGCCAGGAGCTGCTGGTCCTCTGTAACATTACGATGCGAGCAGGACCACTGCAGGCGAAGGCAGGCGCACGGCTTCAAGGTCACAGGGAACTCTTATAGGACTTCACACTCCACTCTTTCCCATAGATTACCACACACTCTCACAATATTATGTGTTTTCACAATTACATCAGCATACATTAATCTGAAGTGTTCTTAAGGCATTGACACAAGAAACTTTATGCTCATTTTAATACACAGATATATTAATGTGCTAACACACACATTAGTTTGCAGACTTGTCCTTCATTTATCCAGAAACTTCTACAGTTTCCTGCATGTGTTATTGAGTGTGCAGTCAGTCAAATCATGACCTGCCGTTCAAACACTTCATAACAGAATTTGTTACAAGCAAAAAGAGACAGGGCGATAGACATCACAAATTGCACGTCAGACCAAGAGAGTAAATATTCAGTCCTTCTCCAGACAAAATAATGTGTGCCAGTAATGGTGTGAAAGAGGAGGTAAATGGATGAGATGTGAACTTCAGAGTGACGTAAAATGCAGCTACCGCATTGTCACTCATCTCAGGAGAACAGACAGGGTACCAGAGGGATTAACGCCCCTCCCTCTAACCTTCCATGCAGACCTCCATCCATCATCTGTCCCTCCTCCCTCCCTGCAACCTCCTCTACCGATGACACTCTCACCTTACTGATAAACAGGCTGTGTTGACAAAGCAATGTCTCCATCAGCAGGGTTATTTGTGAATATAAATGATGCTGCACGGGTGGAGAAGCACCTCCAGCACTCTTTCATGGACACGACTTTAAGTCATAGTTGACAGAGCAGGAACAATAAATCCCAACTTGATATTGAAATAAAAAAGAAAGTTTTGATTTGTCTGGAATCGCTTCAAAGCCACACTGTAAAATTACTAAACAAGTTTAATTCTCTTAATTTATCACTTTAACATTGTTTTAGCAATAACTTTATGAATGTGCATTAATACAAAACCACTGCTTTAGTTACAGTTTGTGAGTGGATATACTTCCAGAATTCCTTATAGCTCCCACAATGTACCAATTTGGCACATTTTCGGGAATAACTAACTGGTATTAGTAGGAGAGTTCATCTCTCTCCAGTTTTAGCTTCTCTCCACTGGCTCCCTGTCAAATCCAGAATTGAATTCAAAATCTTACTGCTAACCTACAAGACTCTCAACAACCTAGCTCCATCTTGTATTACATATCTTATTGTTCCATATTTTCCTAACAGAGCACTTCGCTCTCAGACTGCAGGCTTACTTGTGGTTCCTAGAGTTTCCAAAAACATAATGGGAGGCAGAGCTTTCAGTTATCAGACTCCTCTCTTGTGGAACCAACTTCCAGTTTCTGTCCGTGAGGTTGACACCTTGTCCAGTTTGAAGACTGGGCTTACGACTTTCCATCCATCCATCCATCCATTATCTTTTACCAGCTTCTTCCATTTTGAGTCACGGGGTTCGTCGGTGCCCATGTCCATCAATCACTGTGCGAGGGGCGGGGCACAACCTGGACATGTCGTAAGTCCATCACAGGGACACACAGAGACAAACAACCATTCACTCTCTCACTCACACCTAGGGACAATTTAGAGTTACCAGTCAGACTAACATGCGTGTTTTTGGTCTATGGGAGGAAACCAGAGTACCAGGAGAAAAGCCACGCATGCACGGAGAGAACATGCAAATTCCACCCAGAAAGGCACCCGGATCGGGATTAGAACCGAGGACCTGCTCGCTGAGAGGCAGCAGCTCTACCAGTTGTGCCACCATGATGCCACTTAAGACGTTCGTTTTTGATTAATCTTGTAGTTATGGTTGGCTTGGGTTTCCTGAGCTATCCCTTAGTTATGCTGCTATAGGCTTAGACTGCTGGAGGACAAACTGACCACATTTCTTCACTCTGCTACTGTCTCTACTTACTCTGCTCAACCTGTTTTGTATTTGTAATTATTTTTTCTATCCTAACATGTGTTTTGTCTTTCAGGTACAGCTGGACCTATATCTGGACCTGCCATTCTATGTTCGTTTGTCTCTCCTTCCTGTCATCTCAGTTCCAGCTGGTCAAAGCAAATGGCCACTTTTCTTGAGACTGGTTCTGTTGGACTTTTTTTTTTTAAGGGAGTTTTTCCTTTCCACTGTTACCTTTATGCTTGCTCAGGATGGGAGACTGTGATGAAGTGAAGATTCAATGAGTCTGTAGGCTTCCTTAGATAGAGACCTTTACTAATTGGCTATGTATAAATAAATTGAATTGAATTGAATATTGGACTCAAATAGTCTGGTATTGCTACAGTACTATTGGATCATTTAGGCAGGGTCTCTATGGCTTTAGTTTGTGTCACCCAAAATGTATTAGAATTAGTCAGATTGGTATCTGGTGAGTTCTGTCACTGTAAGTTCAATTCAATTCAGTTTATTTATATAGTGCCAATTCATAACAGAAGTCATCTCATGGCACTGAACAGAAACACTCATATAGGTACCTATATAAAAATAAGTTAACATTATTTATCTGAGGAGCAGACTTTGAATTTAACTTCATAGCAGAACTCTCATCTTAAGCAAGCACGAAGGTGACAGTGGAAAGAAAATACTCCCTCATGAGGAAGAAACCTTTAGCAGAACCAGGCTCAGGACAAGCAGCCATCTGCTTCGACCGTCTGGGTTTGAGAGGAACAGGAAGGAGGAACAGATCTACAGTATATGAATGCTAGAATGCAGGAGACCAAAGCTACACCCTCTTGTGGTTTTAATTCCCATACAAGCTCAATAATAGAGCTTTGAACAAATGATTCATGCTTTTATTGTGTCATCTGGATTAC